AGCTCGCTTGCGACTCGCCCGGGTGCTGGCGGTGGATGACCCAGACGTGCTTCGGCCCGTCGCCAACCTCGACGCAGTCCAACTCGCGCCCGTCCAGTGTCTGGCCAAGCGATCGCACCCGCGAGCCCGGCGCCGCTGCGCAGCGAGCGATGAGGTCGAGGTGGCGCTCATAGTCGTACGGGTCGAAGTAGGCAAAGTAGACGGAGCAGGGATTGGCGCCGCCGTGATCGTACGTCCAGCGGAGCGCCCCTGCGTCGGCTGCGTAGTTCGTCGTGTCGACTCGGGTCCAGACTTTGCGGTCTGCCGAGGCGCAGACCTTCAGCGCCTTCCACCCTTCGGGGTAGCTTGTGGCGCCGGCGTTGCTGATCTCATAGCTGACGACGCCGGGCTGGCCGGCCGAGGCTCGGAAGTAAAACCATTGCGAGTGGCACTTCTTCTCCAGCTCAGTGGGCGGGTCGGGGCGGACCTTTAGTCTCACAGAAGAGGCGTCGGCAGACGTGACATCGATGTTGCCCGCGTCAAACGCCGAGGAAATGGAGACGGCGATGGCTGGGGCGGCGCTGCTGCCCATACGTGTCGAGGGCGAGGCGCGCAGCGCCGCCACAGCGAGCGAGCGAAGCAGCAGCGTGGTGCTCGAATGCGACCAGCTTTCAGGAAGCGTCAGAAGAGCTTCAGGTGACCTGAAGTCCGTCGTGACCGTTCTGCCCGCGGTTGGCTGCCAGATACGAAAAAAGAAAAAAATTTCGCGGCCCACACCATGGCCTCCCACCGCATCGGCGCCCGCGTCGCGGACCTCTCGCCGCAGCAGCTGCCGGGTTAGTGTGGCTTAACCCGGTGGAACCCACGCCAACCTGCGGCTTACTGACATGACTCAGCTGAATGGGCAACGCGAAAATGGGCAAAAACGGGGTGATTTCGGTCATCCGTCAAAAAATCTGAAGATCTGAATGGGGGATTCTCCCCAAACCTTGCTCAGCTGATCCAGCATGGGTCGTAGGCCAGGCCTGGGCAAAGAAACCAGTACCTCATCAGGCTTCCCTACGCCGTCGACGCCCTCGGCCGCCCAGCCTCCGGGGCAGGGCACATGATCCCGCTCGCTCACAGTGCGACGCGCCCCGCCTCCAGTGCCTTGGCCCCTCCGACCTGGCTGCCGCTGCGCACCGAGCGAGCGTGCAATGGGACCCCGCCGAGCCAGCCTCGCCGCGTGCTCGTCTACTGCCTGCAGTCGTCAGGCTGCACCCTCTTCACGCTGCTGCTCGCACAGGCGTCGAGGTCGATCGCAATCTTGGATCTGTTCATCGTGGAGCGCGCGCCCTGCCCCGACGAGTTTGTCGACGTGCGCGGAATCGACTGGATTTTCCTCAAGATGACCGTGCGCACTGAGACGGTCGATTCCGCAGGGGTGAGGCGGCGAGTCCGGAATCCGCTCGAGAGGTTCAGCAGCATTGTGCGCACGTACCAGCCTCATGCCGTCTTCTTCTTTCTGCGTGATCAAGGCACGCATCCTTCGCGCCTCACGCCCCACTCCTGGTCTGACGTGGCCGGCTGGTCGGCGGACAAGGCGCAACACTGGAGGAGGCTGCTCCACAAGAGGAGGAGGCTGGCGAACCAGACCTTTTCCTTCGCAGGGCTCTGCAGTGATATGGGGCGCACGCTGGAGCGACTGGAAGCACTCGGCCTTCGCACCGTCAGAGATGGCGTCCGCTTGCACGTGGGCGTCGAGGGAGCAAGAACCTACCGCCTCTCGCGCGGCGCTGACGCCGTCACAGCGGACGCGGCGCGGCGCGTCC